TCCTGCTGAGGTAACATTTTATCTTCCAAATATGACAGAATGGTTCAGGCCTTGGGAAGCTTATTGCATTCGCAGGAGCTCATACAGTTCGCATGTTTTGCCAGTCCTACTTCCATGCCATTGAAAATCCCCAAGCATGCATTGCAGCTGACCATTCCTGATGTTTGTAAAGCTCAGTGCAAGGTCTTGAAGTAGTTCTTTGCATCGCGAACAAATTTGAACGGTTTGTTGCCTTTCCAACAGATTGGGAGGGATTGATCCTCAGTTGCATCCTTTAGAGGCTTTCCATTTAAATCATTTACCACTGATAACATGAGTTGGTGATGGTTAGTTTTCTACAAAATTATTATCAATTAACCATACAAGAATGCTCTCTATTGTTCTCACCTGGTAAGCTTGGGAATTGAAGTGTAGGAGATCTCACTATCAAATACCACCATGTGAAGGCCCTTGACACTAGTAGGCTTGCTACCAAAGCCAAGGTCTGCTGGTCCAGATGAGTAGTGTTTCCTGAGAATAAAATCAAGGCATTATCTCTATGAAACTGGGAAAGAGGAAAAATACATATATATATTATGGAAATGTGATCCGTTTTTTGGGTATGGTTCAGGACTTGAAGTTCTTTTTCTCCTAGTCAGAGAACTTGAAGTTACTTGTCATAAGTTTAGCCAAGTTACTGAACTTTTATGGTTAACCAGAGTGCAATTTCAGCTCTGCTTAACCTGGTAGAGCTCCTGTGCCAGCCCTCATATTCCACCAAACACCTATAAAAGAGACCTCAAAACCTCCTCCCACCCTTTTACCCTAGTTACTTCTCCATCCTTACTTTTCACAGTAACCCTAGAGAGAAGAGTAAGCACAAGCTGAGAAGAGGTAATTTTTCATTACAGAGAAGTTTTGTGCAAGTGTGAAGGTATGAGTCTAGAAACCCTTGTAGTATTGTCGGTTGGGAAATAATTAGGATTCTTTCTGAAATTGTTAACAACAGTTCTGGAAAAGTATTTATGTTTGATTGTTAATTCAGTAGAAGGGGCATCACAATTTTTTTAGTAAGAGGTCATTGCCGAAAGATTTTGTTTAAAAGTTTTGAAAAGGCCATATAACATCTTTGTGTTTCTTAAAATCATGCACTTATATGATGATATGAGTGCACTTTTATAGGTTAAACTTACTCTGTGAAAGGTGTGTGAGCTTTGGACACTCAAGGGAAATAACTAGACTCGTTGTCTGGGATAGCAAGGAGACTTGTAAGTTTTGTGTTATGTTAATGACCGGTTATCACTAAGTTGCATGCTGCTTATGTACAGATTTGGAAAATTTGTTTGTGTTTTCTGAATTGTGTTTTTAAGGCTGCTCCAAGTAGCGATTAAATTAAGAGCATGACATCATAGTAAAATGCATAGTTTTTGTTAGACAAAAGATGTTTTACAGGATTTCTTGTTGATAGAAAGTAGTAAATGCTTCGCCGTAATAGGGAATTCTTGGAAATGACTTTAGAATTTGTTAAAATGGTTTCAGGACCTACGGAAATGCCTATGGTAGAAAAATACAAAGAAAGGTAAAAGGAACGGTTCATGGTGGAAGGACCATGCCAAAATTTTAAAGGTTTAAAGGAATGTATACTTGTCCAAGAGGTTAACAGAATTGTCTTCCATGAGGCGAGTACCAAGGATTTGAGCAAGAAAAGGAAAGGGTAAAGAATAAAAGGATTTTGATTTCTTCTTCTTTTTAATTGAGGCGTACATGTCATATAGCAGACATACTGCTTAAAGCCTTTAACTGAAGTCTTTGTTTATTTTGTCTATTTGATAGTTACTGAGTTATGCTCGTTAAATGTTTCAGTGTGAGTCTCAGGTGAGAATGAGGGGTAGGCCGGAGCAACTGGCATTGGACAAAACCAGGGTCGGAATGGGATCGGGTGTTTTCATGTTTCATAGTGCCCGGTTTGTCTTGATTTCTACAACAGGGTCCCGTGGAGAGTCTAGTTTAGGAGATTATTATTAGTTTGAATTGGTTTCTTCTTGAATTTGATACTTAAGACATTAACCTTATGTTGTATTTTCTGTATTATGATCTCACAATTGAATAAACTGTTTAATGCATTATTCTTTTTACTCTGTGTAGTTGTGGTTTTATCTGAAATACATTTAAGAAGTCACACCAAACTAAATAAAACACAAGAATAATAAATGCAGAAGACAACAAAAGCACTGTTTTTTGTTTATTTTTTGGATCACAGTTAGATCACACTATTTTTTGGATCATAGTCAACGAAAACACTGTTCTTTGTTTATTTCAATAGCCATTTAATTATCATCATGACTATTTCATGATTGCATTGGGG